TGGTCTTCCGCTGGGCGCTGTTCGTTAAAAAAAAAAAAAAAAAAAACTTATTTTTAACGAATAAAAAATGCTCCAAACGTTTTTCTAAATAAGCTGAATAAAAAACGAAACTAAATATAAACACTTTGCCATTAGGCTACATACAAAACTGAACTATTTTATAGCTGAAACACTAAGTTGTTTAAGGAGAAGGGGGAAATATATTTTTGTCCCGTCTATTGCTTCACCGTTATTTCGAGAATAAACCCAGCGTAAATATGCAGATGTCATTCCCAAAACATATCAGCGTATATGTGCCGAAAACAAAAGTTTCATACAAATTCTGAATGGATTATAGCCTGGAAAGTGCAAAGCACGCTCCTCTTATTATCACTAAAAAGCGTCACTAATCTTAGTTCATAGAGATCTCACAAAGATCCGTTATAATTTATAAAGCTCTCTAAATTACACAATTAATCTTTTATTTACATGGCGTCTACACTCAAAAGATGATTCACGAGCACACAAAATGGCACTTAATAAAAACCAATCCGGCGCTTTCAGCAGTGAGTGAATTCTGTGAATCTACAGAAATGACAGATCAATATCCGTGAACCTGATTTTTTTTTCCCCGCAGCCACAGTACGCCGGAAATCCGGCATGGTGCCGGAACGCTATCGCCCCTGTGGTATTGAGAAACACCCTCAATGTGTTTAAATCTAGTTTTTTTTTATCCTAAATACGATTCTTTAACTAACAATGGCAGACATGAATAGTATTAAATCATTCCTTTTATCTTTACATGGAAAGTATAAGATGTTGAGCAAATCTAGGACACAGCCAGAGCGGTAGAAGCTTTTTTTTTTGGCAGGTATTAAATATTCAGGACTGTTACAAGGATGATCGTTTTCATCTCAGTGGTAAAATCTCTGCATTTGAGTGATTTGCAGGCGGTCTAAAGAAACACAATGATGGGGTGTTCCACAGCAGGAGAGCCAGAGTAATCTCCGCTCTGCCACCTCAGCAGTTCCCATGGCGATGCCAGGCCTGCAGGCCGCTCAGAAATTTAGTGTGGGCCTCCGTGGCAGTTATGTAACCCTTGTGAAGCATCTGAAGCTCAACTGATGGCAATTAACACTGCCGTTATAGGATAATTATTAGACGTTACATGACAGTACTACAAACCTAAATTCCAGGATGTGAGCCAATGCAGCGTGTATATATTTATTTATTCTTTTATTATTGTTTTTTATTATTATTATTTCTTTATGGCACCACTACTCCAGTCTTCAGTGTCACATAAAACTGAAGTTTCTCCTTAATATTCCTCAATGGTTACATATTATATGTCAGTCTCAACAAGAAGCACTGCCCGATGGCCTGGGGCCAGCGTGCGGGACGCTCGGGACAGTAGACAGGATTGTTAGTGGCCCGATCAGGCGTGTGCTGCCTTGTCACTAAAGTTTAATTTGGCTGCTACTGTTTGTCAGTTGCACATCTAGATGTTTGTCTTGTTTGCCCAGTAAGCATGGTTCGTTTGACATATGTGAATCCCATAATCGTGCTCAGATCTGCGCCAAAACAATCAGTCCGAGATCGATTGTAACGAGAAAGTAAAACGATCCAACAAACTAACGAACCAGGCTATATCACAGCGTATTATGGCTGTGTTATAGTCATGGCTATATGAAGAGAGAATTACGAGTAGGGCCCGATGTCATTCCTACCGGCAAACGTGCGAATATGAAAGTGAAAGCATGCTGAAATATTGACGAGAGCTGTTTATCTGTTAAGGAAAATTGACAGAAATCACCATCTGATCATTTTTCCATATTTTAATCTTATAATATTTTGCATTAGGCCTATTGTTTTGATCATTTCTGCACTGACACCTGGAAAGAAAGATTAACATTAATCAATATTGAATATTGACTATCAATATATCAGTTCATCTGTTATGTCTCTCTATAGTTTAAGCCTATAATATATATATTTCCAAATTTATTTGGATCACAGTGGTATTTTTTTTAAATTGTCAGTTGTATTTAAAGAAAAGTTATGCTGAAGTTATGTTTGGCTTTTGACACATTATTTAAAATATGTGACTAAAAAAATAGTTAAAGGTGCAGTAGGTGATTGTCTTCAGAAACATTTGTTGTTGTGCTGGTTGAAAGTCTCTTCACAGTCCAATAGTAATGATTACAGTAAATGATCTAAATGTGTTTATGTGTATTTTTATATTCTGGGTAAAGCATAAAACTAAAAAATGTTTATCCAATTAAATAGAGTCAGACCGTCATCTCCCTTAATTCCGATAAGCAGGTCAGACTGTCTGTCACCATATGTAGATTCTCACTTCTGCGCATCTGTTCACACAGATTCGCCATTAGCACGTGCCCGTCTGCATCACAAATGCATGCGCGCGAGCGAGCTGCGGGCCGCTCGCCAATGCTGAGTCGGAGCCGGAGGCGCCGAAGGACAGACAAGCTTGGGCCGATTACTGTAAAGCCAGGAGCAAGTATTCGCCCTTAAAGCGGCCGCGCGGTCACGAGACGGACCGGGAGAAATCAAATGCTGAATTAAAACTTTTAAAAAACGGAATCAATATTGGAATTACTTTAGCATGCTGGAGGAAGGACGACACCATGGCTGAAGTATTACTGTTAGACAGGTAATGTTCTGTTTTGAAATTATTTTATGTTAGATTGTGTTGTTATGACTTAAATGCACAGACGTGTTGTTCAGCCACTGAAATCTCACTGAAAGATTGATGTGATTATTTTTAGTTTCATAAGGTCCTTTGACAGCATCTATAATGTAGATTTATATTTAGTTTAACAACAAAACACCAGTAAATAGCGCTATTCCGCCTAGCCTGCTTTATTGAGCTGAAGTTGCTTTTATATTCACATTGGGTCATTTTTGAACAATGATAGCCTTCCTATACTGTTTACCATGCTACTCTGAATATTCGCTCTGAAATAGCAAGTAAGTATGGCTAAGTAATAAATGTACTTCCTGCACGGCGCTGGCACTAACTAACTGGCGAATGACATGAACTAGTGGGTTGTCTGTCTGCTGTTGTGTTGCGGTGCGCGCGCGATTTCAGGGGGAGTGGCTTTGAATCACAGTTCCTCCCCACTGTCCAAAGATAATATTTTAAGCGGTTAGCATTTTGGCAGATCACCTACTGCATCTTTAAGTACTTTTTTTGGTGGGGCCAGTGAAAATTTTGGCAGGGCTAGTAAAAAATCGGAACCACTGGCCCGAATGGGCCGTAGAAAAAATCCATAGGTTGAACCCTGTGTGTAATATGAATTCATTATGTATTTATTTATTTTTTATTTACTTATTAATGTGAGAGTAAACACATTTATTACGTTAAAAATACATATTTCTAATTAATAAAAAATGTTTTTTTTAAACACTGGTGGCAAGAATACACGTTTAAAGTACAGCAATGGTTTAAAACGTCTCCATTTTTAAAGGGCCATGAAACCCCGTCGTTTCAGCAGGGTGTTTTCACACCTCTACTTTGGAAAAAGTCAGAAAAGTGGGCGTGTCCTGCTCTGTTTAGGGGGGAGTGTCGGAGGAACAAAAGAGGCTTGGTGTGGGAGTGTCTATTTGGGCGCACTGAATTTCAGAGTCAAAACACACACCCACAGCGGACAATGTGACTGTGTTTACATGGACATCTATAGTCGAATTATTTGCCAAATTATTAAATGGTGGACTTTAACTGCAGTTTGGCTCTTTCATTCAGGGAATTCATTCATGTCCCTCCCGACAAACGTGATATTTGATTCGAGGAGCTGCTCTAAGAGTGTATTTTTCAGGCAATGTTTGATACTGCACGGCGAATGAGAGAAAAAAACTCAGCATTTCCCGGAAACTTAGATGCACACGGCAGGTAGCGTCAGAAAGCCGCGTGTGTTATTCCGGTCACAAAATCCAACACGAGGTTATAGTTTGGTTGTAACTGTTAGTGCTAACTTGTTTACACTCGGTGCAATAGTTTGTTTGATACGAATAAAATACGAACTGAATAAACAAAGAGCACTGGTCGCTCACTTACCAAATCTGTAGAGACAGGACAATCACCAGCAACTAGAGCCGCGTCTTTAATAAGAGGAGACTAAAGCGAATCTGGATCTCAGCGTTTGCAGATGAGAACAGCTCTCAGGTAAACAATAATCCTCCTTGGACACGTAAGTTATTGTTGTCGAGCGTCGCGTACACTGTTAATCCACACGTGAGTCTGAGCTCTCACAGAGAGAAAATGAAAACGAAACTTAACGGCAGCAAACTATAAAAGCAACACTTCACGCTTGTTTTGCCAACACAACGTGGCGTCTCTGTCGTCTAAACACTGTGACAGTAATGAATATTAATGAAGTTGCACAACAGAGCGCGCTGATTGGTTTGAACCAAGCCTTACTCATGCATTAATGCAACACACTGTAAGACGTAATACGACACACTCTGGCACAGACGCCCAGTCTGCACGCTGGAATACAACGCTATTATGTCATGACCGTGACGCAGCTTCAAAAATTCGTTTCAAACCGTAAGTACGAATTTGCTTGAAATAACGCAAAAACAACCAATTTACACTTTTTAGTGAAATATAGGTGTCCTAATAGTGTTTTTAGCAGTGTGGGACACATATATGACTGTCAACAGCTCAAAAAATGTGTTTTGGTGTTTCGTGACCCTTTAATGTGGTCAGAACACTACATTTTTTATGGGATTATAGTTAAATTCAAAGCTTAAAGCACTTAAAAATGTTAAGGTTTTAAATATGTAGGGGCAAAAAAAAAACGTTATAAAAACTAATCACATTGAAAAGAACTGGGCACTCTAAAATACAAAAACATACTCCTATTATTCATCGTGGATTCAATAAATGCCTTTTAAGTTTCATCAAAGTTTACTGTAAATGAATAACTAACTAAATGAATAAATATCTTAATAAAACTGGCATTAACGAGCTAAGGCAACAAAAAGCTGTTTGAACATACCTGACTGAGTCCTACGTAGGTGACCATAGCCAAAACAGGGGCAGCCAGAGCAAAGACTAATAGATGTTTGCGTATACGGTTTCTTTCTAAACCTGCATGCATGAGGAAAGAGACGAGTCCAAATGCAGCAGGAGCCTGAAATACAAGAAAATTCAACATAACAAAACAGACTTAATAAAACATCATTTTTTTTTAAACAAAGGAAGGCTTTGTTAAAACTCCAGTAACAAAAATTACACACCAAAAAGTCATCTAAAGCACAATCAAAATCTTTTTGAAAAATGTAAATAATTAATAACAATACGACTAAAGAATTTTAACAGGACAAGCGCTCACTTTCACAGACCTTCGACAAAACTATTTCACTTTATATTTCAGTCAAATTATTCACAAATGAATTGATTTTAATGCACATTTTGAAAGGGAACATTTTAAACATTTTAACATTTTTAAATCAACATTTACAACTAAAAAGAGTAAAAAGAAATTGTACCATTATAATATGATTTACTATACTGATGCATTTAAAGATATCATATGTAATTTGCACCACTAGAGGGTGCATATTTACAACAAACATGGGCATAGGTTGATGACAGCGAGACTAAGTGTGGAATCATGAGAGATGTGATCTTCGTTAGATGGGATATTTTAGGAGAAAAAACAAGCATACATATTGTGCATTTAATACAAAATAAAAGAAACATAAATTACACAATGTTGAATGTTTTGTTGTATAGACAACCGCTTTTATTTTGTATTTTATGCGTGTACCTTTCTGTGTTAACTTGGACAAAGTATTTGAATCGATATTTCTATCGGTTGGGTACTAGCTAAAAACTAGCTATATTGACAGTAAACTCCAATGAAAAAGAAGTGTAGAAAAACTTTAACTTCATTAAGGCTGACTGTACCTTATGCAACATAATCGCCACAAACACAATAAGCTGGACGCTGGTCTGAGACGTGGATGCAGCCGCTCCCAAAGCAACACCATCAGCTGGAGACACAGAGGGAATCAAATATGATTTTCGGTCAGATATACTAACACAGCATTTACAAGTCTGATAAATACTCAATGGACTGCAGAGTTTGCTTATATATATAAATATATATATATATATATATATATATATATATATATATATATATATATATATATACACACACACACACACACACACACACACACACACATCGCCTATATGCATATATATATATATATATATATATATATATATATATATATATATACATACACACACATATATACACACACACACACACACACACACACACACACACACATATATATATATATATATATATATATATATATATATATATATGTATGTGCTCGGATGCAAAACCCGCTAAATGCCACTTCCATCAAAAATAAGCTAATGACATTGAACGAATGCTTTAGGCAGGTAGTATGTATTCAACAAATAATTTTGCTTCAAATCAACTAAATCACAGCATCCGCCCATTCAGAAATAACTTGTTTAATAAAAGCTAATAAATAATTTGTTTGCAAAAGCCTTCAAATATTTTATTTAAAATATTAAAATAGGATTATTAAAGTATTTAAAATATGACGATTTGGTGTCCCTAAAAAAATATCCTAATCAATGTAAAATTCTGAATTATTTTCAAATAGTCATTTTGTGAAATATTCATATGACAATATATAATAGCAGAAAAAAAGAAATATTGCAGCATCATTTTTTTTTCTAATATCATAAAATTCTGTCATAAATTTTTTTTTGAATAATATAAAAATTTTTATTAATAAAATAAAAAAATGTCCAATAAGGTATAGAACAGTGGTTTCCAACCTTTTTCTTTGGGGCCTCCCCCATGAAAATATACAAACATTGGAGCCCCCCCACCATATAAATACACATGCACGCACACACATATGTACTGTGTGTATATATATATATATATGTGTGTGTGTATATATATATATATATATATATACTGTATGTGTGTGTTTGTGTAATAATAATATATAATATGTATAGAAAATATAAATTAATCAGTTTTAACTTGTCTTGTCCTTCAACAAAACCAAAATTTAGGTAGGCTTTGTCATACTGTCTAATCTTTTTCTTTGCCTCTGAAGAATCACTGCATTTACGTTTCTCTGCCATTTTTGTTTTGATTTTGCCTTTATGACACGTTGACAAGCACATTGCGCGAGTGAGCAAAATTTAAATAATGATTTAAAGTTATTTATTTTAATTATTTGTACTATTATGTTAGAATTTTAATCATGTGTTTTGATTTGATTTTATTTTTATTTTTGGTATTTAAAAATACATATATAATACTAGGGCTGCTCGATTTGATAAAAAATCATAATCACGATTATTTTGGTCATAATTGTAATCACGATTATTCAAAACGATTATCAGTTGAAGTCAAAATTATTAGCGCTCCTGAGAATTTGTTTTTTATAAATATTTCCCAAATTATGTTTAACAGAGCAAGGAATTTTAACAGTATTTCCTCTAATATTTTTCTTCTAGGCTTATTTGTTTTATTTTAGCTAGAATAAAAGCAGGTTTAAATATTTTGAAACCAATTTAAAGTCAATATTATTAGCCCCCCTAAGCAATATATATTTTTGATTGTCTGCAGAAGAAACTACTGTCATACAATGACTTGCCTAATTACTCTAATTAAGCCTTTGAACTGCACTTTAATCTGAATGCTTGTATTTTGAAAAATATCTAGTAAAATATGTGCTGTCATCATAGCAAAGATAAAAAAAAACAGTAATAAGAAATATCAAAACTATTATGTTCAGAAATAAGTAAAAAAAAAAAAAAACTTCTTTCCATTAAACAGAAATTAGGTAGGAAAAGGGCTGCTAATATTTAGGAGGGCTAATAATTCTGACTTCAACTGTATACATACAGTTATTTTCCATCCTGCAAAGGAAAGAGAAATAAATACAATAGAATAAAAATATGAAACAAACTGTGCTTTAAGCATCTTTACTGTAAGAATAAAACTTTAGCTACAAAAATCCTTCAGTCAAGAGCAGAGAGGGATGTTCTCGTTTTGTTTGATTAATAATAATAAAAACAGGCGGCAGCAGGAATATTTCGCGCTGTCACTTTAATGGTTTCTCTTTCACGTCTTTTGATCCTCAACTCGTTTGTTTATTACACAAATGAGGGTTAATATAAATAATGACTAAACACCGCGTTTTGACACCTATTTGACCATTAAAGCGCTCACGTTAAGACTTTAGATGTCTGCGCTCCTCTGCTCGTCTGAGTGTGCGAATCAGAGCGAAAGCTGACCGGCCGCATGCTTCTGACTGTGTGTGCGTGCTGCACACACACATAAGCAGGCGATCTTTTGCACTTTTAAGAGCAACACGTGTACAACTGGAAAGGGGGCGGTATATAATGCAATAATCGTTTATCTCGATTAATGCTTTTTTTATAATCGTTTGAAGCCAAAATCGAAATCGGATTTTCGATTAATTGCACAGCCCTATATAATAGTGGAGCATTTTTATGCCTTTTTCTACCTCAACACTTATCCTCTTCCGCGCCCCCTGAACCACTGGTATAGAACAATGAATATGACATCACCGCAGTGTGAGCCAATCCAAATAACATATTACACTGAGCATATCTGAACAAAGCATCTAAAACTGTTTAGAACTTTAAGGCCTACCAGCAGCATGGACGACCAATCCGAGTGTAGTGGTGATTTTAGAGCTAGCAGCCCTTGCTGCTTCTGGATCTAAAAATGTAAGAACAGAGATTCAAACACTACATGCATCAAACTACAGAATTTCATTTTGTCAAGCAGAAAACAGTGGTATATGACATTCACCGACCATCACTGCTGTGCATGTGTGCGCTGCCAATCTGATCCACCAGCAGCATGAAGACGAAGCCCAGTACCAGAGAAATCCCAATGTAAGCGTGGAGCTGCTCGTGACCGTGGCCGTGTTCACCGCTGGGTCTCACCACTCCTTCTGCAACCTTCTGCTCAGAAACTTCTGCTTCCACCTGCCCATGGCCATGGTTGTGCACACCTACACCAAAGTCAACCACTGAATAACTTATGGGGGATTAACTAATTATACTACTAACTTAATTTCTGTAACAACAACTAGCAGCACAATGCATCAAAATGCTACAAAACCTTTGAAATAGCCATGTTTCCATCTGAAGATATAAATTAGACATATGTGCAGAACTGGAATACCACATAAATCATTTGCTAATCACTGAAACAGCATGTCAGTTTGGCTTAGTAATGAGTGTAATTCCTGCACGTCGCTGGACAAGCACTAGTCGCTTTTAACACAAGAGAGGGTTCTTTTGCTCTCATTTTTAAGGTGCGCTTGCTCCTGATTCAGGAGGCGTGGCTCTGGATGGCAGGGGAGGGACTGTGATTCAGAGATTTATGCTAAGCTGTTAGCATTGTGGAAGATCACTAGAGGTGTGAACCTATACTGGTCTCACGGTTCGGTTCGGTTACGATTATCATGCCATCGATTTGGTTCAATTCGATATCTCGGTGCATCACGGTGCATTGACGATGCTTTCCATATATAGTGTTATATTTTAGGGGGGAGGCTATAACATGCTGTCTGTATAAACACACAGACACACAGCACCACACTGTCTCTCATTCAAACACATTCACAAACATAGACAGCATCAAACAAACAAACACACACACGCACACAAACAAACAAACACACTTAAGCTCTTGCAACAGGGAGAACTCGTGCTGAGCGGAGCAGAAAAACAAACAAAAAAACCAGAAAAAAAACAAGCACTTTTCCGACGGTCCCTTACAGAGAGCTCCTCTTAGCGCAAGCTCTGCTGGCTAAAGTAAACGCAGACTGCGAGGGCTTAAACGGAGCAGTGCTCGTAATGTCGAGCGAAAAAAAGAAAGACAGCTGTGAAACATAACCAGCTTTGTCTTTTTGTAGGAAACACACTTTAGATCTTTTTAGGGTAAGCGTTTTTTGAGTTATTGCCGTCTGTAACTGAATGTGTGTCAGGAAAATCGAAAACAAAACCAACTGATGCGCGCTCATTTCTGGCGCCCCACTGGATATACAGCACCCTAAGCATTTGCCTATGGTGCCTATGCCACGGGCCGGCCCTGAGTTGGCAGAGTGTTGTAAATACCGGCGCTCACCTCCCTCGCGACAGAGCGCATAGGAGATAAATGATGTCACGACATAATAGCCGGTTATGATTATTACTGAATCGATACCGAATTGTCCGCGTCTGCATCGCGGTGCACCGAAGAAACAATTAATTTTGACACCCCTAAAGATCACCTACTGCACCTTTAATTACAATAAGACATACATTAAGAACAGCCCTTTATTTAAGACTTTATTTATCCATGTTTTAATAGGCCAATTAAATAAAAGCTTAATCACACTTACAGGGGTAAAGGTAAAAAAAAAAAATATCCTAAACCGGTCATCTAAACTTCAATTTTTTTCTTCTGTCAAATAAAAATATCAGGCTACCTCAAATCGATCGCTCCACAGGAAATATGCATTTAATTAATGCTCTGCTGTTATTATCATTTCACAAAAACCTCCGTCAACATTTTTAATAGAAGTCATTAGATTAAAAATTAGGTCTCATAATTATGACTTATTTCATCCGTCTCACTCGTGGTTCATGTGTGCGTGCGCTGCATGTGATGAAAAAAAAAATTACAATGAACCTCAAGGCTCATATGTTGACTTTGTATAACAATTGTGTTGTTTACATATGATATTGCATTAATTTGCATACAAGTTTTATAAGCTGTAAAAGGAAAGCGAAGTTATCATAATACAAAAATAAAAAAAAAATATTTGGATTTGTTTGATTCGTAGATTATGTAGGCTAGTTTAAAAACTGATATTATGTAAGAACAATTAATGACTGTAATTTTCTAAATGGAAAAAAAGGTTGGTTTGTTGGTTGTCCACTAAATCATCAATAGCCTGTTTGTTAAGTTTATGACGTGGCTTCAGGCAGCACAGAGGCGATCAGCAGCAGCGCTGGTTTATGTCAACTCATCTGTCAAACTGTGACCAGAATTCTTTTATTTTGAAGCACACATAAGAAAAGAAAGTTTTTTTTAATTATTATTTTATTTATTTATTTGTTTGTTTTAATGCCATCTCAACAGCATTGGCTACAGTATATTCATGGCAACACTTGTACTAAATATTCAATATATAATATACATCAGTCATATAAGTCGATCAGTTTGATCAATGAGAAATATTTAAAAATTCCTTCAGGGGACACCTTTTTAAACATTTCCCTTAAAAAAAACATTATCTAACATAATTTTAATATACACACTAAAATGTTTAAAAAAAAAGAAATAGAATCAATGCATTGACTGAAAAGCAACCTGAAGCTCACCTTCCAGCATTTCCTCATAGAGAGCATGGACTCCCTCTGGTATTATGACAGCCAGCGCAGTGCCACACAACAGCCCTGCTCCCAACACTGTCACCAACTTCAGCTTCTCCTGAGCACATAAAACACAAAACCAAAAATTTGCCTTTCGGCTCAGCTCCTTTACCACAACAGACCGGTGCATCGACCGCATTACTGCTGCTGCACCAATCCCCCTGCCAATCTCACGTTCAATCCTTCCCTCACTCGTGAACAAAACCCCAAGATACTTAAACTCCTCCACCTTTAGTAAGGACTTTCCTCTAATCTGGAGATGGCAAACCATCTTTTTTCGGTGGACCAATACTGCATCTATTAATACAAAATGCTAATCAACAATTTTCCCTATTTTTTGTCCAAAAAGTTTCCTCTTCAGTTACTGCAATATGGGACAATAAGCAGAAGAACAGCATTAAACATTACAAATATATTTATTTTATCTTTGTCACCCTCTACTGTTGCTCGTCATATCATATTTATCTCTTATATATTTTTTATATAAAAAGAGTAAAACTATTATATATATATATATATATATATATATATATATATATATATATATATATATATATATACCACAAAAGTTATTATGTAAATACAAACTTTGTTTTGAATACAATTAATGATTGTTTCACAGAACTACAGTAATGAGAAATAAAGGCCTAAAGTAATAACTTCTACTGAAATGTTTTAAATCTATTTTTCACAAAATTATTTTACTGCATGTGTTATCAAATATACACATATCAGCTATGGAAGGAACTTGAAAAGTTTATATATATATATATATATATATATATATATATATATATATATATATATATATATATATATATATATATATATATATATATATATATATATATATATATATATATATATGGGTCAATGACGTGACGCTCATTTTTTTGTGTCCATGTCTTTTAAATAAATTCAAGTAGGTTACAGTTTCAAAATAAATAAGCAAATTACTTGCATACATTCTCTATTTTGAGGACCAAGTTTAATTTTTTGGTTTTAATCCATTTTAAGAAAATTTTTAGGGGATTATTGCAAGAATGTCAATGTGGTGTAACCAAAAGAAATTGGTACCAAATAGTTTACCTTGTTTAAAAAATGTGAAAGCCTCAATGAAACATTGTATCGGCTAGTCTGGCATAATTTTACATTAGACATATTTAATAGTAAATAAAGGTAAATATAGCACAATTGTTTTAAATATTATAATTCATTTGGGGAATTTTTTCTGTCACCTCAAATTTCTGAAATGTCAAGATGGTGTAACCACCATTTATTGAGCCATTTTGTTAATATTGTGCACAAGACAGTTAGACAGGAAATTGAATCACAGAGAAGAACTCTTGATAAGACTAATTGCTGCATGCAAAGGTTAGTAACTCTTTTTAAAATGTGAGAGACCTTTTTAAGGTATGGTCAGCTATTCTTAGATATGCATGTCAAATGGTAAGACCCCAGAAATGCACTGATAATTGTTCATAATTATAAAAATAAGTATTATATTTAAAAGTTAAATTTGAAATATTCCCACCAAGCCCATGTGCTTACATAGATGTTATTGATAATGCCTGTCAAATTTCATTTTGAGTTGAAATGTCAAGGGGTGTAACTGGTTACACCATTTGACTCACATAGCAGGAGTCTTTCTGTCAGGGGTCAATTTAGTCAAATATCATTAGTTCATGATGCTGATCAAAAATGCGACATAAATTAAACTACTATTTGTGTTCATAGTGTAGATTATTTATTTATTTTTGTTTGAGAAATAGGTGCTTAATCCACAACCTTACTATTAAAGCTTTGTAAACATAGGATAAAATTATTTTACTGCACAACATGAATGTTTTTTTTTTTGTTTATGTTAATCCATGTTTATATTCACACAATATAATGTACACACTCTCTCATTTACACACACATTCATACACTACAGTCAATTTAGTTTTTCTAATTCACCTATACCGCAAGTCTTTGGACTGTGGGGGAAACTGGAGCTCCCAGAGGAAACCCATGTCAACTTCACACAGTAAGCCATCCTGGTCCATCTTGGACTCAAACCAGCAACCTTTTTGCTGTGAGACAACTGTGCTAACCACATTAGCCACTGTATCACCCTCCTTTGAAATGTTGTAAGTATTTTTTTTCTTCTTGAGAAAGTCTTATTTCTTTTAGTTTGGATAGAATAAAAGCAGTTTTTAAAATGTTTAAGCAGTTTTTAAGGTCAATATTGTTAGCCTTCTTAAATACAGAACAAACCACAGTTACCCAATGACTTGGCCAATAGATCTTACTTGCCTAATTAACCTAATTACATTTTTAAATGTCACTTTAGGCTGAATACTAATGTCTTACAAATTATCTAGTCAAATATTATGTGCTGTCATCATGGCAAAGATTACGGAAGAAATCAGTTATTAGAATTTAGTCATTTAAACTATTTTGTTTAGAAATGTGTTGACAATAATATTCTCTCTGTTAAAGAGCACTTGGGAATTTCTTTTTTAAATAAAAGAAAAAATTAACATGGGAAATGAAACAAGGTTGACAAGCCTCTATAGACTGAGTGCACACAGCCTTAAGTTTTGGAGGTTTTCATACTTGATGCGCTTGCTGTTGTACTATTATTATTAACAACTGGAGGTGACTCGGAGGAACTTTAATGATGAAAAGTTGTGAAGAACAAGTCAGAAGTTGCTAAACAAATGAATTGCAGTTGAAATCAGTTTTGTTTGGGTTTTTTTACAGCATGTCTGATAAAAAATTTTCTTCTGGAGAAAGTCTTATTTGTTTTATTTAGGCTAGAATAAAAGCAATTTTTAAAAGCCATTTTGAGGTAAAAATTATTGGCCCTTTTAAGCTTTTTCCCCGCGATAGTCGACAGAACAAACCATGGATATACAATAACTTATCTAATTACTCTAACCTGCCTAGTTAACCTAATTAAGCCTTTAAATGCTACTTTAAGCTGTATAGAAGTGTCTTGAAGAATATCTAGTCTAATATTATTTACTGTCATCATGGCAAAGAGAAAATAAATCAGTTATTAGAGATGAGTTATTAAAACTATTATGTGTTGAAAATGTGTTGAAAAAACCTTCTCTCTGTTAAACCGAAATTGGGGGAAAAATAACAGGGGAGCTAATAGCTCAGGGGGACTAATAATAATTCTGCATAATTCTGAAGTTAACTGTATAAAATAAATATTTTGTGGATAAGTTGTGGATACACTCATGAAATTATTTGTTGTCAGTCAGTCGTGTATGCTTACAAAAATTGGCCTTTAATCCCAGCACCAAGGCAACAACGAGTAAGCAGCAGTTCTTACGTACTAGTGATTTACGTACAGTGTTTGGCAAATTGTTTCTAAATAGCTTAAAAGTAAAATAGTGGATTTTTTTCTAATATCATCTACTTATTTTTATTTTAATTAAGCCAACTGAAAAGAAACAGTGATGGAAAAGGTGTTAAATGTTAAACATGTTTCTTTAGTTTGTTAATATTCTATTGATGAGGGCCACACATTTAATGTAAAGGATGTTATTACTTGGTGTATTAAAGTTCAGCAACCTGGTTTCATTGTTCTAAACACATTTGTCAATGACAATCCCACTGAAATTGTTGACTATCATTCTTAATTTGAATTGATTTTAATTGTCAATTTCAAAATCTTTGGCTGTAGAAGCAACACTGTCAGGTGGTGTAACTGGTTTTTGTCAATTGGTGTAACCAGTATTTTACATAAAAATATAATTATGTACATGGAAATAATGTGAAATTAAAATTAAAACACTTAGTTTAGTGTAATAAAATAGTTTTTAACATTTTTTACATAATTTGTCAAAGATTATTTAGAAACCAGAAGTGTTTTTAGCATGTGTCTGGCCGAATATTGCAAAAACTCATTAAAATGTACATTTAGAGATAATGCGAATACAATAAATGTTATTGTGGTATTTTAAAATGAAGTATTTATTTCAGTGTGTACACTTGCATATCATCTAGAAGGAGTAAATTTTTTAATATTTCACAATTTTTGGCAGTTACACCATTTGACATTTTCAGTTGCATTCAGTCTTAATGTCTGTAAAAAATGGTGTAAATGTTATTTTTAATTACATAAAATCAACATGAATACAATCTGTACATTTTAAAATATCTGACGGATGCTTTTAAATCAACTTTGTAAAAGATTTTTAAATTTCCCATCTTGCCAAACCTGTTTTGTCACTGACCCATATATATATATATATATAATAACAATGTATTTTAAACTTTTATGAATGCCTTGGATTTATGATTTTGTTATTTGTTGTTATTAAGCAGCAAATAGCACAGAGAATTATATCTTTGAATAAAGTATGGCCAAAAACACCCAATCTTATTATTTTGTGACAAAATAATTACAGTAAATTGAAGTATTGACTAATTGCTTTACAGGTATCAGCATTCTCCACTAAAAACACAAGCTGTTGGGTCATAGAGTAACGTTTTTAATGAAATCAATTTGACATGGACCCGACAGAGCTGTTTGAATAAGGTCAGTGTGATGGCAAGTTAAGCAGCTTGTGTCTACTTTAAACTTTAAATTGATATCACTATCAACATTAAACGTTTTAAGGCCATTTGTTCCTGGAATTGTAAAATCAGGGGTGCTCTGGTTTTTCTAGCTCTCACATAGAGTCCTATATGGACTAAGTCAAATGAAAATTAAATGGAGCAATATATAAAGACATAAAAGGATAAATAATATACAATAATTTAATAAATAATAAATACATATGACAAGTACCATTTAAAATGAATTAATTAAAGATTAAAACACAACAAAAATGACTAATGCATGCAGAAAATAATAAATGAAAGAAAAAAATATATGTAAATGGATTGAGTTAATTGAAATACTTTTGTAATATTATTATGTTTTACTTTTATATAACTAACATTTTTTTCTATCCATTTAAAAAAAAAAAAAAATATATATATATATATATATATATATATATATATATATATATATATATATATATATATATATATATATATTTACAATAAATTGTAAAATGCTGTTTTTATGTTTTATTTATGCACCAATTGCAAAAAAAAAATATCCAAGAAACGTTAATGCAAAACATTTCACTTGCATAGCACATAAACACAATTCTGATTGTGATATATTTATGCATCTGTTTATTTTTGCAGGTATGATCCTGCATAGTCCCAAGGAGATTCAGCCATCCACAGTAGTGATGCCAGGACCTCGCCAGAATCACAGTTCTCAAAACCAAGTTCCAGCACAAGCTCTGCAAATCGAGAACACCAGTCTTAAAAATGTAGTCGTGTCCATCCCAACTCACCTCAGAGAAGTTTACAGCCAACGGAATAGTTCCAGCCACATAACAGCCGATCAGCATCGACAGAGACAGCAGACTGATGGAGCTGAAGTCGTCCATTTCTGCTGAGCTTCCACCGCTGACTCAGTTTGTAGATGACAGCAGGAGTTTAACAACAAACTCCGTGCAACCGGTCGACGTTTTGATGACAGCAGATCCTTCTAACTTGGATTGGTGTGTTAGCTGGTTAGCTAGCGAAATAAAAACATGTATCCTCGGAGATCGCGTGATTAAACAATAACGTCTACAACTCATCCGCTGTTAAGGCGGCTTGTGGGCTCTTTGTACATTGACCTGATCGATTATCTGAACGCTGTTGCTCAACTTTAAATACACAGAATCTCGTCACGCTTAGCAAGGGCTAAATTCGTAACAACCAGGCTGCGAATAAACATGAATAAACGGATCCGCGAAGGCTCGTCACATTCCGATTTTTTAACCTCAAGCCGCGTTTAAGGGCATCATGATTCCCAAGCAGTCGACACAGTTTTGTCGCTATAAACTCAACTGGTTTTCTTCCTATTCCGCAGCATCGACCAAACACTGAGCGCTAACTAGCCGATTGTGATGTTGGCAGTGTGAGGGAAGTACTTCCGAGCCACATCGCCGTCAAAACAAAAGCCACCCGCCTCAGCTGCATTTTACGTCATCGACATTGTTAATACGTCGACATTTACAAAATGCTTACACATGTTTAAACAACTAAACGAAAATGGAAGACTAAGAATCAATAAAATAGTCTCGCTTATGTTTTTTAACCCTTATTGTGTTTTAAGATAGGACTTTTATGCCGTCACTCACACACACGCAATCACACACACACACACACACACACACACACGCACACACGTAACTACAACAGTAATCCTTTACCCTAAAAAGTTGACATAACTTACACATTTATTCCAGCAGGTAGCTCTACGTATTTCTTAACGCATTTTAAGTTGTGTTGTATTCTTCAAAAATAATTTATAATAATTAAAAAAAAATCTGAAACCGAGAATTCCCAAGTGCTCTTAATGTTTATGTATCCCATTTGCCAATTTCTCTTAAATAAAATATTTATTTATTTATTTATTTATTTATTTATTTATTTATTTATTTATTTATTTATTTATTTTTTGTTGTTATTTTTGTTTAACAATTAATTTAGGCTATATGAATGTATGCATGGACTTGAAAATGTATAATAAAAAGCCATTCATTAACATTTTGTTTAAAAAGAAAAAACATTTTGGTTTGTTACTATTATGATTATACTTATGATAAACCATTTTAATTATTAACTGTGTCACAGTCTTTGATTTACTCACTCATTCAGGCTTTTATTTTGCTCTAACACGTGTCAAACTCTGGAGTTTGTCCTGTTAGTCCTGGAGGCCCACAGCTCTGCATAGTTCAGCTTCAACCCTAATGCACTAAGGCCGTACTCGCATTACAGTTGCCTTGAACCGGTCCAAAGCACGCTTGTTAACCTCTTTAATAATCTACGACAGTTTGCGTTCACTGAACAGTAGAAATGATATAATCCATATAACACAGTCCCTTAAAAGTCATCAAGCGTACCACGTTGAAGCCCAAGTGAACCGCGCTCAGGCACACCTCCTCCAACCGGGCCAGGGCCAGCCAAGTGAACCGTGCCTGAGCCCGATTCAGAGCACTCACACTTCTCAAACGATCTGGGAAATGGGCCTGGGCACGGTTCGGATAGCATAGTGTGAGTGGGCCCTAAGTGAGTCCTGCAGGCCTGTTTAAAATCTATAGATAAGTGTTGAAGCAGGGTTGGAACTAAACTCTGCTAAACTTAGTTTGACACACCTGCTCTAACATTATTCGTAAGTCTTGTCAGTTATAATATATATAATAACAAATAAAAATGGCAGGCATGTGCTCAAGCATCTGCCTTTTTGGCAAATGACATAAGTGCTGCTTTTTTCAAGTGTTTTTCTTTATTCATCTTGATTTAAATTTTCCCAGTGGCATCAAAATTAAGTGGTTTTTCAACAAGTGTACTTAAGACCCCTGGTGAAATACAGTGTCATATTTTTCAGCTTACATTCACTACGAACCGATGCCAAAATCATCATAATTTTTTTTTTAACAGGACAATGACCTCAAACACAACTCCGGGCTGTCTATGGGCTATTTGACATAGAAGGAGAGTGATGGGGAGCTGCGCCAGATGACCCGGGGCCTCATGTACGAAGACTTGCGTGGAAATCATACTAAAACATTGCGTACGCACAAAGCTGTAAATGTGCGTACGCAGAAAAAAATTCAGATGTATGAAACACTGCGTACGCCGAATCTCACGCATATTCTTTTGTACATCTGAATGAACGTGAAACTGAGCGCAAAATGCACGAGCACAAAACCCCTCCCTGCCTCCTCCCCCGTATGAATATGCAAATGACTCTACTTTGGCGAAACCCGACAAAAAAGCAAAGGCAAAAGCAAGTAAAAAGAGAAACTTTGAACAGAAAATGAATTGGTGGTGCTCCTTTCGGAGGTAGACCGGAGAAAATCGGTGTTATTTGCAAATTTGTCCTCCAGAATTAACAACAAAAGAAAAAATAGAGTGGGGGAGTTTAGCTGATGCGGTTAACACAGTTGGGTCTGAACATCGCACCGAGTGAATTAAAAAAAAAAATAGTGCGATTTATAAGTGTAAAATTTTGCAGCACCATAACAGTTTCAGTAGCGCAGCTCATAAGATGCAAGTCAACATGTTTTGACACGTTCGAGTATGAACTCGGTTCGAATCCGGCATCTGATGAACTCTTTCTTCTTTTTTCCCCCGCTACGCTACATATCAGATTTTGCCAACTATTTATCACGAGAAAGACAAGTAGGAATCAATAATAAGTTTGTGCATCATATTTTATTTGCACATTTATTGAATGGAAATGTTTCTGATTCACGCATGCAAATTCATCTACAGATGGTGCCTTTATAGCAATGTGTGTGCAGTAGATAGCTCAGATTACATTGGGAAAACAGGCGACCGCTGCAAATTGCGCTTTAATGTTTGGCTGATCAACTGTATGGTGTGGAAACCTTATATACCTGCTAGATGAACCCGTCTCATACAGCTGCCATTGCAAGGCTCAGACACTTTGTAGAGAGGAATTAAACACAACTGCCTCTAGGAGTCGCCAATGGAAATAAAACAGACCCGCACAAAAAATGTGCGTACGCCAGCCAAGAAGCTGGCGTGGAGCTGCACACATTCCCACGTTCAGTTCATCGTTAGTAAATCCAAACGTGAGCGATTCTGATCGTGAAACCTGGCGTACGCAAAGTTTTTGTGCGTACGCAGCGTTGATACATGAGGCCCCCGGCCCTCAGTCACCGGACCTGAACCCGATAGAGATGGTTTGGGGTGAGCTGGACCGCAGAGTGAAGGCAAAAGGGCCAACAAGTGCTAAGCATCTCTGGGAACTCCTTCAAGACTGTCGGAAGAGCATTTCAGGTGATGACCTTTTGAATCTCATCAAGATAAATGGCAAAAGTGTGCAAAGCCGTAATCAAAGCAAAATTTTGAGGAACCTAGAGTATGACATAATTTCAGTTGTTTCAACTTGTTTTTATTATGTATATAGTTCCACATGAGTTAATTCATAGTTTTGATACCTTCAGTGTGAATCTACAATTTTCATAGTAATGAAAATAAAGAAAACAAGAAAACTTTTTGATTGAGAAGGTGTTGTGTCCAAACTTATGATCTGTACTATATATATATATATACACATATACATAGTTTGCGGCTGGAAAGGCATCTGCTGCATAAACACTTGCTGGATAAGTTGGCGGTTCATTCTGCTGTGGCGACCCCAGATCAATAAAGGGACTAAACTGACAAGAAAATGAAGGAATGAATATATGAGCAATATCAGTAGCAGTGTGATATGGCTGTATATGGCTGTATATTATGGGACTGGTGGGAGGCGTGCGTTGCCTTAGTGCCCCCACCAGTGCCAATATACAGCCATATCGCATGGCTATGAGTGTGATATTGCGTTTTTACAACAGTTTGACGGCATCATTGTGCATATAAAAACAAAATCAAACATAGAGAGTCTCAAAAACCCTTATGTATGAGGAACTACTTTCTTCCGCCTGGGATTCAAATCATAAGCTGACAGTTAAACAGCTGAGCAAGCATCTTTTAAACTTTAGATCTGTAGTGTCTGCTTGTTGCTGGCTGTATGTGAGCGGAGTAATACACAAATGGTAAAGAGTCTGATATTACTTAAATATATCACGGCTATCAGCCAATTAGATTCGAGAACCAGACAGAACTGTTGTGTGTGTGTGTGTGTGTGTGTGTGTGTGTACATATATATATATATATATATATATATATATATATATATATATATATATATATATAAACATGTGGCATGATTTGTTTTCTTGTGTTACCTTTGACAAATATTTAGATTTGCTTGATGATCTGAAAAGTGTGACAATCATGCAAAAATGTAAAAAATCAGCAAGGGAAGCATGTCACCAAAATTGGGTTTTCATAAGAGTGAATGTCTGAAAGTATAACCCCTCCTTTGATTTCTTGTTTACAATAGCGGTGGCCCATGGCCAAAGCGCGCAGGTTTCTGACCACTCTGGGCTTCAAACCAAAGGGTGCCAGATACAATGCTTTGCAAATATAAAACCAATAGTGATTGAAGAGTGCTTGAATGTGTGCCAGTCACTGTTGGCATGTTGTAAAATCAACAAAGAAATGAAAAATGTTATCCATTCCAGGCACTAGTGTAGTCTTCTGAATGCCAACTGCACAGTTCTTGTCACTTTTACTTTTCATCAAACACATAAAATGTTCAATTTTGTAATTGAGCCTTGAGGTCCCACAATTACTACTTCATTTTTGTATTTAAAATGCAGGATGTGCTGTTCACACTTTTATTTAAATTGTTTTAGTTTCTTTAGCCTTTTTAAGATTAATATGAAGATACAAAATAAATAAAGTCTGTATATGTGTGTATATGTTGCAAAACAATGCAGTGTGCCAGGAGTTCTTCTGTCACACACAATAATAAAGAGCGGCTGCAGGACACATATTTCTGATGCCTGTATTGAACTGTAATGGAGTAAACAGCCCCCACAACATGAACAAAAACTTACGCATTTGTACATTTTATTTAAAGAGTCCCTATTATGCATTTTAAAAAGGTCATATATTGGTTTTAGGGGTCTCCAACAACAGGCTGATATGCGTGCAAGGTCAAAAAACACTGTCATGGTCTTATAATACGCATTTATTTTTACCTAATTATCCCAGCGACTCCCATATGAATCGTTCAGAGATTCATTTGTTCCCAAACACCTCCCTAGTGTGACGCTAATCTGTGCTGATTGGACTGAAGTCCAGTCTATTGCAATTTGGTCAACTGCATCCAGCACGACGAGACAGACAGAAATGCCCACCACGGCTACAGTATGAAGTAGCAGAAAGTGTGTGAGACCCCAAAGCAGGAATGCAATAAAGCAATGCAGTTAAACACCAGCTTCACACTTACATGTTATGATCCGGAGGAAGAAGAAACTGGTCCATTTGAACTGTAAAAGTTA